TTTAAGACTGTGAGGAGCAGCCAACCCACAGTCCCCACTGCCTCATGGGCACTCTGCTTCTCAAAGGATCTGCTTACTATACCAAGGGCTACCCCTACTGCCTCCACTTGCCTCCAGTCCTGGGGTGCAGCCCAGTCCTCCAGGAGGCAAGCCACCTCAGACCACATACCCATTGCAGGACGATCCACTGTCTCCCCATTCACAGGGGCAGCCCACTGAAGCACCCCTCCCATAAGGGCTGCCTGTCTTTTTCCTTGGTCAACAATGAACCCTGCCGACTGTGCCAATTGTCCTGCTGTTGGGTTTCAGCCCTGGGCAATTTCACTATGGATTCAATGTGACCAAAGAAATCGATGGCAAAACGTTTTTTGGGGTGAAAGGGTTTATTATCTGGCTTGTTCTCCTGAGGGTAGGTCGAGCACCAGTGTCTCTGCCTCCACTCAGAGTACTGGGCCGAGATCTCTATATAGCACAATAATAGCTTATTGTCTAAAGGTGTGGAAGCGGTAGCCTAGCAACAGGCCAGTTACATCATCACTTGGGTTAAGTTCAGTGAGGATTATGGCCATAGGAACCCCAACTTCCCCACAGATGATCAGAAAGATCAGAAGACTGAGGGTTGAGCATCACTTGACAATGTGCTGGTTACTGTTTCTTAGCACAAGTTGTTATAGCGGAGTTGGAGGAGTTCATGCTTGTTGGAGTGGGTTAAAGGAGTAACTGGAGAAGAGCTATGTGCAGTCCAGAGAATATCGATTACTCTTTTTAAAGAGTTTTCCTCTAAAGAATGTGAACTGGATGACAGCCAGGCAGGGTAAATGCAAGGGTCAAAGGGGGCTTTTCATTTTTTAAGACAGGAGATACTACAATATGGTTATATGTTGGTAGATAGGATCAATACCTTAGTAAAGAAAAACATCAAGTATAGCATTGAGAAGAAATTGCTGGAGCACAGTGCTTGACTAGAGGAGTTGGCATCTAGGGCTCAAGTTGGAGGCATTAGCTTTAGAGGAGGAAAAACATTCTTCTATAGTAGCAAGAGTAGAGATGGCATATAGCGTGGAGAGAGAGATAAGCTAGAGTGGATATATTGGGACCAGCTGGAAGTTCTCTGCTGATTGTTTCTATTTTTTCAGTCAAACAAGAATTTATCAGCTGAGGTTAAGGTTTAAGGGGGGAGGGATTAGAAATTTTAGGAAAGAGAAGAGGTGTGAAAGGGTCATCCAGCACATAGTAGAGTGAATAGCCTAGAGTAATATAGTAGGAGTATCCAGATATACTTGGGACCAACCTGAAATTGCTTTCCTATACCAATTCAAATATGCTCTCTCCATGTTTGTGGGCAAGTCATTTAACAAATTTCTACTTAATACCCAGGAAAGCTAATATATACAGTCATCCATGTGCAAACGAATTGCATTTGTGAATTGCTGTATAAATCCAAGTTGTAAATGTTTGGTCCTAAACAACTTCTATAAGTACTGACATTCTAGTATCCGTTTCAAAATCTGATTGAAGACATCTACTCTCCTATTCAACACTAATTAGACTCTGTACATTATTTTTATTCATCACTCTCCCTGGGTTCTTTTTCTAATCCTTTCTTTCCTTCTTAGGCCTTTTGCTGGCTCTTTGTCTACTTTACCTTTGAACTGGTATGATCTGGAGCACTTGTACATTAATTCCTTCAATTTGTTAAAAATGAAATTAATTTTAATTCACTTAATGCTAGTTCCTGAAACATATTTATTATTTACTTATTTATAATAAGAAGGAAGCCATGATAAAAGAAAACAATGGAGAATTCCATGGGTCATGATGTTAAAGATCAAGGCCTATTATCTTCAACATTTTAGTTGGATATCTTAGAGGACACTGATTTTTGATTTTTTGTTAGCTTAATAATCATTTCTTCAAGGCAATATGTGAGCATCCAAAGTAGAACAGTGTGGTGTCATTTGATGTCTCCCTGCTGCAGGCCAGGTTAAAGTCGAGGCAGAATGTTTTAAATGGGGCAGAGGTAGTTGGAAAGTGCTAGAGTCTTGCTGGTTTGGCGCTATACTCCTTGAGGTGACTCAAATTATCCCAGAAGCAGTAACACTGCAGAACTCCAGTGGAAGTTGAGAACTACTCCTAAGGAGACTGATATCACTTACAATATTGCATAACAACCCTTGTTTTTTGGTCACCTCCATAATAGGACTTTTAGTTATTTTAAGGGATGTACATTAAATTCCTCCAATTCGTTAAAAATGAAATGAATTTTAACTCATTTAAAAATACTGGCTCCTGGGACTTCTATTATGAGAAGGAGAGCATGATAAAATAAAAGAGAATTCTGTTTCTAACGATTAGGAATTACCTGCTTTTAAGGTCCTCAGAAAACAAGGAAATCTCAGCTGTGGTCACCTCCAAGTGTGGAAGTTCCACAAAGGTTTCCACCCCTTACTCGTGGAAACTGTTTGAAGAAACATGGTAGTTATTTTTAGTTGTTCTAGCAGGGCGAGGGAAGAGGAATGCAGACTGCTTTGAGCTTCAGTAATCAGATTCAGTGCCTCAAATTATACTCAGAAGTCAAATAGGTAGTCAGCAGTGAGAAGAGCACAGATGTTACTCACTTTGTTCATCCAATTCCCTTAAGCAGATGGGCAATAAAAAGTCTGGGCATGTGGCAGGGAGACATCAAAGCCTCTACAGTCACAATATAAACTAAAAGTAATGGCACATCTGAAGCTCCAAATCAATGGATTTGGTGTTGCCATTGATAAGGGAAGAGCAGCTTGAACAGAAGGCATTGCTAGTAATCATAGTCTGTGAGGATTCATGACACCTTTATTCCAAGAAAAGCAATGTGCTAAGTACATCGTCATTACAGTTAAGAAATATTTATCATGCTAATATGTGTGAGGTAAGTGTATTCTTATTATCTCATTTTTTACAGCTTGATCGTTACTTTGAGTGCAAATCCTTTTAGTCTTAGTTTATGGGGAGATACTGAAAAGATAAATGATACAACCAAGTTCTCATATTTGATTGTTGGGGGAATTAATACCTATTCTCTCTCTAGATGGGGATGGCTGAAATTCAGTGAAATTAGCATTGGATTTGATTTACATTGAGGCAATTTTCCAATTTTACCTATCATTTCTAAATCCTGGACTGACAAGCCTTGTCTGCATTCTGATCCCTCTCCTCTTACCCTCCAGCTGACTCAGTTCCCCAATAATTATGTAACATGTAGGTAGGAGACAAGTGCAGTTCTAGGGGAAGAGGAGAAATATGGGGACTGACAGTGGCCAGGCACCACTTTGAGGTCGTGGACTGTCACTAGGCCTGGTGAACACTTCTTTCAACCGTGTTGGTTTCTGGTAGAGTGTGACTTCTTTCCCTGGCGGCAAGCCCAGTGATGGAACATTTGTCTGTGCACCTAGTTATCGCTTGCCTGAGGAGATGCATTCAGGAAAAAGTTGCTTATGTTTATGTTCAAGAGATTTTTGAGTTTTATGGTTTCACGACTTACATTCAGGTCTTTGATCCATTTTGAGTTTACTTTTGTGTGTGGAGTTATACAATAATCCAGTTTCATTCTCTTGTATGTAGCTGTCTAGTTTTGCCAACACCAGTTGTTGAAGAGGCTGTCATTTCCCCATTGTATGTCTATGGCTTCTTTATCATATATGAATTGACCATATATGCTTGGGCTTATGTCTGGGCTCTCTATTCTGTTCCATTGATCTATGGGTCTGTTCTTGTGCCAGTACCAAATTGTCTTGATTCCTGTGGCTTTATAATAGAGCTTAAAATTGGGGAGTTTAATCCCCCAGCTTTATTCTTCCTCCTCAGGATTGCTTTGGCTATTCAGGGTCTTCTGTGGTTCCATATGAATTTTAGAACTATTTGTTCTAGTTCATTGAGAATGCTGTTGGTATTTTGATAGGGATTACACTGAATCTGTAGATTGCTTTAGGCAGGATGGCCATTTTGACAGTATTAATTCTTCCTATCCATGAGCATGGGATGTGTTTCCATTTATTGGTGTATTCTTTAATTTCTCTCATGAGTGTCTTACATTTTTAAGGGTATAGGTCTTTCACCTCCTTGGTTAGGTTTATTCCTAGGTATTTTATTCTTTTTGATGCAATTGTGAATGGAATTGTTTTCCTGATTTCTCTTTCTGCTAGTTCATCATTCATGTATAGGAATGCAACAGATTTCTCTGTGTTGATTTTGTATCCTGAAACTTTGCTAAATTCAGTTACTAGTTCTAGTAGTTTTGGGGTGGATTTTTTAGGATTTTTTATGTACAATATCATGTCATCTGCAAACAGGCAAACACTTCTTCCTTACCAATCTGGATGTCTTTTATTTCTTTTCTTTTTTTTTTTGACTTAAACAGGATGCCTTTTATTTCTTTGTGTTGTCTGATTGCCGTGGCTAGGACCTCCAGTACTATGTTGAATAGAAGTGGGGAGAGTGGGCATCCTTGTCTTATTTGTATATGTTTTTTAAAAATATTCATACTTATTAAGAATCAACCTTGCACACAACTCTTTCATTGTTGTGTTGTTAGAATAATAAATTATCAAAGACTGAATAGCATCTTTCTTCTTCTGATTATTTTTATTTCTATTTCCCTGTGTTTATAAACCTGAATGTTTTGTTATCACATAATTCTCATTTAAGAATTGAATGATATTTGTGTAGGGCCAAACACATACCCTAAGGTGCAGATTTTAGTTTAAGACTATAGTTTTTAGTTGTTTTCTTTTGTTATTTATTATGGTGGGTAAAGTTATTAAGAATTTGTTGTGCTTGTTTCCAAGATTTTAGTGTTCGTAAAGAGGAAATAGTGTATTTTTAATTAACTATACATACTGTAATAAAAATATTTCAAATAACATTTCTTACTGGAATAAGAGATAAGTGATTTGAAAAAGCTCTGAGGTCCCACTATGCTATGTACAAAGGTTAATTAACACCTGTGTTAATATTTTTCATAGGTGCATTATTGCAATGGGCCTTGACAAAAAACTAGCTTCACCAAAACTGAAGAAAGAAAAGAGTATTGAGAAAAGAGAGGAACTGAAGAAGGGTGAGGGGAAGCTGAGGAAGACCAGAAAGCACATAATACTGAAACAGAATGACCTGGAGGGGAGCAAAGCCTCTGCTTCAGTCATGTTTTCAGCTCAAGAAGAAAACACAGGGGTGGAGGAAGTGAGAACAGCTGTGGAGGAGATGGAACGTACAGGACAACCCCGACTAGATGTCTGGGAAGATGACCACCAAAATATGCTTAAATATGGTAATGGTAACACGGGGTTCTCTGTGGCTACTGCTGTTTGCTTGTCTTTCAGATGTGATTTTCAGAACGTGCAGAAATAGCCATTAAATGTTGTCCCTCAGTTGTGGTCTTTAGGCACGTCTGTCATATGTGAGGAATCCCTGACCACCTCCCTCCACTGTTTTGTGTGGAGTCCTGTTCTGCTTCCTCAGAGGAGGGCAGTGCAGGCCTAACTCCAGGGGGAGCTGAAAGTGCTCTTTTGGGGAAGGGGGAAAGGGGAGTTTCTGTCTGTGAGCCTGAGGCAGGGAGCACTTCTGCAGGGAGACCATTTGACCAAATAGAATTTTGCCAATTTATTTTTTTTAGTATATGAATATACTTGCTTTGCTGAAATGAATGCTTTGACATAAGGTAGGCACACACTATATGTTTATATAATGATAGAATATCCACAACTAAAAACAGTTGTAAAGGCTTGGGGTCCTGGTGCCCCATCTGTCTGCCTTTCTTGTTTTCTTAATCTTTCCTTCTTTTCTTTCCTTCTCCCTCTACCTCTTCCTCCCCCACTTCCTCCTCTTCTTTATCTCTCGCCCTGCTCCTTTCTGTNCACACACACACACACACACACACACACACACACACACACACACATTCGCATACACAGCAGTAATAATTACAATAATATAAGTGCCAGGCACTGAGCACACAAGTCCAAGTACTTTCTATACATGATTTCATTTTATCCTCTCCATCGATGTGGTAGATATAATTACCCCCTTCCATTTACATTTTACTATTTCATTTTACCCTCCCTATTTGATGTGGTAGATATTATTATCCCTTCCATTTTATATTTTGCTATTTAATTTTATCCTCTCCCATGATGTGGTAGATAACTAACCCCTCCACTTTACAGGGTGGAAAACTGAAGTTCAGAGAGCAAGTAGCAGAACTAGGATTCATACTGTAGGAGAGGAAGAACTGCTTTCCATTTATTCACCTAAGAAGGCTGAGTTCTTGTAAATTAGACTGACAAGAGATTAAAAATGGAAAAATAAGCAAATTTTTTAACATGTGCATTATGCATACACATGGGAGCAATCAGAGCTAGTAACTCAAAGTGGTTGTTAGAAGTTGGGTTTATGTGGCATCACAACATAAGAATGATATATTTTTAGAGATGTGCAAGACAAGGGGAAAGGTCTGGTAGCTTCTAGGGGCAGCAAATGTGGGAAGGGAAATATGTGGGGAAACTAATGGTCGAAAAGGGCTAGTTTTAGTGGGGTTTGTTCTGATTCCTCTGGTGCCTTCTCTGGGTTGATAAGGATTTTTAAAGTTGCCTCTAATGATTAACTTCTGTCCTTCCTGGTAGAGAGGGGCGGGGAGGCACCTTCACAAACTTACGTCCAATTTTTAGGCAAATAGGGAAAGGGCAGAAAGCTTTTCTTATACCTACTATTTCTCAGTTACCTTCAGCTCAAAATAAACTTAATGCCAAAGTGGCATATTCTGGGGTGGCATACTCTGCTACCCTTTAATACCTGGTTCGTCTAAATCCAAAGCCCAGACTTGCAAACACTGTTCAGCTTCCTAGTCTGTATAAGCTCAGATGTTACCTGGTTGTGTGTGATCCGAAAAATCATAAACAGAGCACTGCCTGAGTGTTGCTCATACACCCAGGGGCAAAGCAGGGGTTAGAGGAGCAATAGCTGTGGGCTAGGATGACCTATGGAAGGACTGGCATCAGGAAAGGGGCAGATCCTATGTACCGTCTTTCTCATTTCATCTTGTTGCTGTCCAAGGGCTTCAGAAATCCAACAGAATAATTACAGAGCTCTCACAGCACTGGGCTTTATGTTTGTTTATGACTGAAATAATGTGACAAAAAAAAGATTTCACTCATAGCACTTTGACCCAGTTTATCTCTCTCTGTGATCCCTTCTAGCCCTTATTATTATCCCTGAGAATTTAAAAATATCTATAGCAATAGGAACAGCAGAGAGATTAACAAATAGGATGTGTTTTCATGTTTTAACTTTCAAGGCAAGTAGGTTTATTAAAGCTTATTAAAGTGTGATATAGGCTTTTCCTTTCCTTCATTTATGTTTTTCTTCTTAATCCACCTGGTCAGGGCTATGAATAGCATATTTTATGCCTATAATATAACTTACCCCAAGATCTTTCTTCTGCATTGGCTAGTGAATGGATTTTAAATGCCCATTTCCATTAAAGAAAAAAAAAAGAAACAGCAGCAAGAAGGCTCCAGCTCTCTGCAGAGCAGCCGCTGACAGTAAGGGCAGCCAGAAGCGTGAGCGGAGGCCAGCGAGGGAGACCTGCAGCTGGACTGATGCTGACCTCGCATTGACTTGCTTCCTCATTAGTGGGGCTGGTAAAGGACAAGCTAATTAAATTCTCAGGAAGAAAGAAGATGAGATGGTGGAAATGGAAGAAATTACGAAAAGGGATCCAGGAAGCATGCCACCAGTTCATTTATGTTGAAAACATGAGTAGAGGACACAAAGGAGGTGTGCTTTGAGCTATAATAGAGGGCTAATGGGCCATAGAAGGCTAATATTTAGACATGATAATAGTGGTAAGTAGAACAAAGCCAGGGCAGCCATGAATTTCATATTTTAAGAGAAAACACAGAAGCTCCTGCAAAATAGGATGTAGGGACTGTTTTTGTGGTTCACTACATGTTCTTCAATTTTATGCTCTGCTTCAATAATGTGACTGTAATGGTGTCCTTATTTTGGACACTTGTACTTCTTCAGTTTTAATCAGGTGCCTCCATTAGCATGTATAGCTGTCATTAGAGCACATATTGCTTGCGATGTGTCCTGTTCTATGACCAGCTCCCTTCACCCGCAATCATAATCAGTTTTACTACTAATCCCTAATAGCCCTGTACTAAGTATGTTCCAGGGATTATTGCTTTTAGTATTCACCACAACTTTGTGAGGCAGGTACTACCCATGTTTAAGATGAATAAATGGAAGTTTAAGTATCTTAAGCAAATTGTCACAGAGCTACTAAGTGTATAACTGGGACTTGGGTACATGACACCTTGACTCAGAAATCCTCGTATTTCACTATTGTGTAATACTGTTGATGGAATTTCAGCAATTCATTCATGTTCTCTTTGACCCCCACCCCCGCTTATCCTGTGACAAGTAGCAAATATGTGTAAAGTGATACATGTATCCATTTCTCTATGTGTTTGTGTGTGTGTATGTGTGTGAGTGTATGTTCTGTAGCTAACCTAATCTCCTTTTACAACTCATCCATGATCTCCAAGTGACATTCTACCCTCCTTTGGTTCCATTCCACTCATATGACACTATTTCACAAAATTAATCATGAGTCCTATATAAAAATCTATAGCAATCAAGTAATGTTGAAACTAACATTATTGAGGACTATGTATAAAAACCACAATGAATACAGTATCTCTTATAGTCCTGTGTCTTATTTTCTCAACAAAAACTGGAGTTTTCTCAAGGGCAGGGGTTGTGTTGTTACTGTAATGACTTTTATCTTGCAGTTTTATCCTCTTCCACATGGAAGTTTCTCAATAAAGACTCATTGATTGACAGCTAACTGGACCAAGTGAGGAGCTATCCTATTACTTGGCCTGAAATATTTGTATCAAAATATTTATTTCTTTTCAGTAGTATTTCCTGTTTGTTTCATGAAATATAAGTCAAATTCCTCATCTTCTTGTTTATTTCATAGTTTTATTTTACAGACAATAATCTGCATTTCTCTGTCCCCAAACTAAATCTCTTTAATGAAAACATTCTTGTGATGAATTCTCTTTGCCTTTCTTCATTACAGTTTCTGATTTCACTTTTCCTCTTAAATTTCCCTCTTACATTCTCTGCATTAACAAAGCTTTCTTCATATGCACAGCACATGCATTTCTAAAACAGGTTTCTTCTGTAGTAGGGTAGATAATTCTCAAGTACTTACTCAGGAGGCCCCCACATTTGGAAAAGAAGCCAGAAAGTCTAACAACTAAAACACACAAAATAGGGAAACCTTTATTTTCCCTGTAATCTTTTTTTAAAGCTAATTACTTATTTGCTTAATTGGTTCTGCATGAAATCCTTTTGCTCTCTATCCTTGGCATGTTGTCACTTTAAGATTTTTAGTTTTTAGTGGGAGAGAAAGGGGAACAATTAAATATGAAAGGTGAAAAATTGTAACTACAAGGGACAGCTGGAGTTTATCTGATGTGACAATTTCCTTTTTCTGCTATAGATTGGTTGTACCTCTGTAGGAATTGAAGCATATTAGTAGCTGTGACAGGAATATTCTATGTTATAAGAATTTTATTCTTGGAATGTAATTATTTCATTGGTTATAGGGATGAATAATGCATATGATTTCAATTCTGGCCTAGGTATAAAATCTTTCATAATGCCTTTTCTTGATGTCTGTTTGGTTTTCGAAGAATGTGCTATTCAGTGTTAATTCTTAGGGCCTTTGGACTTAATTAATTGAATTTTTCCACTTCAGTATTCATTAACTTGATATCCAAATATTTTGAACATTCTTCCTATGAAATGTGACCTCCCTGGGTTTCCAAATTAACTTTCATTATTATAACCCTGTTCGCTTCATTTTTAATTTATTTCTAATGTATTGTTTTCTATCAAGTTCTTGTCCATTTGGGTTATTGTGGATGATGATGTCCACTTATAAATGAACCTTTATTAGGTTTCAGGCTTGTCATTTGGAGCTTCATTTCTTTTGTGCTCTTGTGTATGTAACTGATTGCAATCTTTGATCATTTGCTGTTAGTTTTCCATGTTCACTAATTGTGTGAAAAAGGAAGCGAAGAAAGGCCCAGAGAAGAGAGGACAGTGGAGCCAAAGAGCTCATTAAAGGGAAATGGGTTAAGTATCAGGGTTTCTATTTTCATTCTCATAGTGAAGATTTTCTTTTCTCAGAATACGAAGAAGATTTTGAAGTAGATGAGGAGAAACAAGATGAGAAAGCTCATGAACGAGGACAGGCTGGTGATCACGTGAATGGAATGTCAAAGTCACCCTCAGATGGCGAAAAAGATAACTTAGACCCTGAAAAGAAGAGTGAAATCTTGTGGCAGAAGGCATCAGATGCTGATTACAATGTGAAAGATGAAGATGACGGACGTTCTGATAGTGAATCAGATGAGGATGAACAAGGCAAGCTGTTTAGTTTATCAGGTTATATAGGCGGGTTTGCGAGTGTGCTTGCTGCTTCTCTTCTTCTATATTTAATGAGATGATCCTTCTTAAAGGGAGGGTGTAGAGCCTGGCTTCCTAATTAGAGGATGCTGCCCCATCAATCCTGCATAGAAATCCAAGTTATGGAATCTCTCCTTAATATTTTCTTTTTCCTTAGTTTGAGGAGATTTTTTAGCAGGGCATCAGGTAAAGCTTATAATGACTTGTCTTTCATTTACTTAGGAAGTTATCACTTTTTTTTTCTTTCTGTCCAAACTATCCCCTCTTACACGCACACATACACACACACACACACACACACACACACACCATTTTTTGGCTTTGGAAAAATGAAAAGTAGCTTCTATTCAATTAAGGGAAAAGTTGAAGATTCCTGCCTTAGGCTCATTTTGTTTTTCTTAACCTTCGACACAGGGTGCTGGCGTATTATTTCTTTCGTCAAAGGTGACACAATCTTTAAGTTTAAAACGACTCTGAATATTTACAGAGAAAATACAGAGCTTTTCAGTCAAGGAAGGAAACCTTCAGCATCTGAAGGATATCTTACATTTTTAAGACTTTAAAACCTTAATTCACCAAAATAATGTACAGTCAAAGAAGGGACAGATTTTCTGCTTTATTCCATAAAAGGGTTTTGCCATGTCTATGTGGTTCCTAATCAAAGATCTTCCCTGGTACACTCTGTGCATTTACCAGTAATATTTAAGCATATGTGTTCTTTGTAATTTGCTTTAGACTAGATAATAAAATTACATTATGATGACTTTTTGAATTGCTGTCCATTTCCCCCATTCTTTCACCTGCAAAAAAAAAATCTTTGTAAAGAATCTCAGTATTTTGAAACCAGGGAATAAATTAGGATAATATAAAATAAGAACAAATTAAGTACTCAATTAGTCACAAGAGAAAATACTTAGTTTATAGGTCTACTCTCTTCAAGAAAAACTCAAGCAAATCTATTCCAAAATTTCATGCTCACATATATAAAACAATAAAATAAAGAGAAATTATTCACAGTGAAAGAGAGGACAAGTTTCTAGGAACCATAGATAGTATCATGACTATGCTTGAACCAAAATTTTAATTCTGAGTTTCCTGACAGTCAGAAAGTCAGAATAAAGACTGAAGCACCATGTGAAAATTTAAAATGATGTTTACTATCAGAAAACTTGAAAACAAGATTTGCTGTAGTTTTTATATTTGAAAGAGCTACTCAAAATTTATGGTTAGGTATTGGAATATTTTTTATGTAGTCTTAAACTAGACCTTTTCTATAATTTCTGTTAATACTTACATTTTATGTTTCTAGTCATGCCTAATATATATGCTCTCTTCTCAATTTGAGTGTGAATATTGGGTTTAAGTTTATATTCTTATACAATGTAGAGAAAGTTAAAAGGTTCTGTGGAAAAGTGATGTCTCCTGAATCAAATTTTAAAGAAATATATAAGTGACTTAAACCTGGAAAAGAATTGAAAATGTGTTTTCATATAAATATGACTTGTTCAAAACACAAAGGACTGAATTTTTATTTCTTCAGCAGTGGTGGGGAATTATCAAGTGTTGATTTCATTAAGATTCAGTACATTCAATATATGGTTATCTGGGAACTATTTTTGTAAATAACCACCTTGCTGTTTAGGGATCAAATGCATTTTTTCTGAGGCAGGAAATTTTTTTGTATTTAAACAGAGAAGGATATAGGTAGTACTTGGATCTTCCTTGCAGGAAAAACTTTAATCATTAAGACCTGTAATTGTTGAATAACTGACCACAGCAGGTAAGCTTTAACATTCAATACTATTTGCATATAAATAATCAGAATCCTGAGTTTGGAAAGGCATCCTATTGATATTGTTTATTAACTGTTTTATGCTAAACTCTGTGCTAAATATTTTACATGAATTATTTGATTTACCTCAAACAACTTTAAAAACATGTACAATTTCTTTTTATTTCCACTTTATAAATTAATAAACTTAGAAATGGTGAGATTAAATAACTCATGTAGCCAGAAAGTGGTGGAGCGAAGACATAAATATCACCCGACTGCAGAGCTTGGATTTTGGAGAAAAGATATAATGTTTCTCCAAATCAAAAAATATTCATGTACTTAAAATTAAAGCACATCCCCACAGTAAAAGGATTTTGCTTCCTTAAAGATATACATTTTTAGAGACATTTATCTTGAGTTCTTCAATTTATTCTATTCTGTAGCCTGTTTTGTTTTGCTTGTAAATATGGAAATTTTATAATTTTACCCAATTTTACCTTTCTTCTCCCACTCCTTATGCACTCCCAGGCCTTTGGCTCAGTTCTAGCTCATCCCCCTCCTCTTCCATGACACTCTCCTACTTTGGCAGCCTTCTTTAAGCTCTTTAATTTGTGAAATGATGTCATTCACTAGCCCATTTTTCACTTATTGCTTCATGTATGTTAAACTTTGCCCCTCAGATTAGTTACACAAGTTAATTGCACACAAACTAATTGCACTCTGAAAGTCAGGACTCTGTGTTGTCTTTGTTGTTCCTCACAGAAGTGATTTCCTAAAAGATACTTTGCAAATAGTAAGCAATTCTTCATTGTTTTAACACCAAAAATACTAAGGTGATTTTGTTAGCCATATCTTGTTACATTTATATGATATGATTATTACTGGCATTTTATTGAAAAAAGTATGGAGTTAGCTGCATTACTAGATATAGAATATATAATATTTCAAATAGGTAATGAATGCTGTCAGAACATATAAAATATAGTCTACAAATGTTGGGAAATTTAAGAGCCAATATTAAGTTTGCTAGTGATTTTATTTTGTTGTTTCAATAATGGTGTTATTAACCTGTCTTTTTTAAGAGCTCTTTTGCATTCTTGGTATTTTCATGAAAACTACCATTATTATGAAATAAAATCTCATTGTTTATTACTGTTTCTTTTTCTACCCCCAGCCTCTTTTATTTCTCATCCCTTGATTTTGATAACCTGACCTTGTGTTACTCAAAAATATTCTTTTTAGCATGTGGAGTATCAGAATTAAAGAATACATCTAGCAAACAAGTAGCATATATTAAAAATGATAATGACACTATAGATTCCCTAGAACCCTCTATTGAAAAGCCAGACAGCATTTCATCTCCAAAAGTTAAGAGGCATATTGTGACCACTGAATCCCAGACACCAGTACATCTTTTTTATTGACATGATTAAGGATCTTGCTGTTACTATTTGGATGTGTTTCATTTGAACCTGCCTGCACCTGTTCCCAGAGGGCAAACAATTGCCCAGACTGTCACTCTTGTGACAAGTCGGCCCCATTTAACCTGCCAGCTAACAATTGCGTTGCTCGCCTTGATGAATATACTGTGCTGAGCAGCCCATGAATGATAGAGTGCTAGAGACTGAAAGCTGACTTAGAGAGGTGCCTAGTTTAGGAAGGATGTGTGAGGCTCTCATCATTTAAAAAGAAAGACAGCTTCCTTTTCTCTGCATGTGTGTTGGCAACCCCAGGCGCTAATTCACAAGTTGAAAATATATTGTCATAGATGAATGTTATAAGGGAAAGTGTCATGTCACTGAAAAATACCTTTATACTTTTTATGAGCAGTTTGGGTGATAGTGCCTATGAGCAAGAGGTGAATAAGTAGCTCCTTATGAGAAAGGGTTGAGAAAGAGAGGATCTGTTTCCAGGATACAAAGACTAGAACATAAGAATTAAAGCAATTTTTTTTTCTAATACAAAAAATAGTATTTCACTTGTGCTGTTTTCCTGTTCATTGAAGAAGTAGGTTTTATGGACTTCTAAAATCTCATTCACAAAAATATTCTGTTGACTTGGCTGTTTACTTGACTCATTCTTCATTTCTTGGCCCATTTCTATGGGCTTGAAGAGAAACGTATCAGGGAAGTTGCTCCCCCTTTGTTGAAATTATGCAGCAGAGACACTATACTCTTTGGATGTCAGTGTAACTTGACTGCTTCTTAGACCAAAGAGGATGAAAGGAAGATTGTAGTTAACCTTCAGCTCGGAGTCTATATGTGTGACATTGTTTTGCATAATTAGTAAAACTTTAATTTTTTTAATAGTAAGAAATTTTCAATCCATGTTCACTTTTTGATTTTTAAAGAAGGGAGTCATTTTTAAAGAAGGGGTGAACACTTAATGCAACATCATCTTTTTTTTACTAAAGTATCATTGATATACAATCTTATGTTGGTTTCAAATATACAGCACAGTGGTTCAACAGCTACCCATATTATTAAATTCTCACCCCTCTAGTGTGGTCACTATGTATCCATGTAGTAAGATGTTACAGAATCATTAACTGTGTTCTCTCTAATGCAGCCTCATCTTTTAGTCCACATAAAATACTTTTCCATGAGGCATTTCTGTGCAGTTTTGAATGTGTCTTGTACATAGCAAAGGCACTGCTGGGCACCCAGTGGAATCTCGTGGAATGCGTGACTGATTTACTGAATTGATGGATAATGTCGAAAGACTTAGCACAATGTGACACGATTTGATTATATTCTCAGTATTTTAAGTTTTCATTTTAATGTTTAAAAAGTACAATTAAAGGTAAATATGGAGGAATTTTCATGCTTTTTTTTCTTTTCCTCCTGCTATACCTGCATTTACCTATAGATTTTTACCCTTAACAGAGACAAACACATGTATGTCTCATTGATGAATTGAATAATAAATTGTCAGAACGAGAACATATCTCTCCCTTGAGACAAATAACTGCTTACTGTTTATATCTGGAATTTAATTAATGATTTCTACTTCTACTTTCATTAAGCATACATTTGTTCTACAGTATAGAATACTGTTGAGTATATAGAATATTGTTGAGTATAAAGCAGTTGTCTAGGTATATTGTACATGAACATATTGACTGAACCACAGTAACTAATATAAAAAACCGATTTTCATGAACCCATGAGCATAATCAAAATAGAATTATCGATACAATAGTAGGATAAATAAATACATGTTTTCTGGCTAATCTGAAGAAAATAGGAGCAGCATTTATGCAGATTTTGCTGTGAAAGCTTAGACTCCGGAATGAGAAAGGCACTGCTCACATTAGAGTTCAGGAAAGTATTGGGTCCACTGGGTTGGGATATGTGGTGTGCTAGTGGGGTGACCTGAATTTCTAACTGAATTTATGTATTTGATTTTGTGCACTAAAATTGGGGTATCTATAGGGACTTCAAGCTACTAAAACAAAAGGCAAAGTAGTTAAAATCAGGATGCTAATGGAGGAAATGGTGAATTTAAACTGTAGTAAAACCATGCTCCATGAGAGGGGAGAGGAAATAATTAAAAACTAAGGTCAGGATTTATAATTGGTTCAATACAGACCATATGGCCATTGACTGCCATAAGTGTAACAGCAGCTTCTACCCATGCTCACTTAGGGGAATGAACAAAACCTTAATGGACATGTGCAGTAGGTCTACTGTGTTCATGCAGAAGAAAGCCATGTCCCTCTGGAGGGTGCAGTCCCCATGGAAAGCAGGGACACACCCTGCCTCTTTTTCCATTGTGTCCTCAATACTTAACACATTGCCTGACACAAAGGAGGTGCTCAATATGCATTTAGGGAAAAAGATCCATGTACGGCAGTAAGTAGATGGAGGAAAACTCAGAACCTCAGTTAGGAGGGAGAGCAGAGTTCATCCTGAATCTGTTGGACTGGTGTTGACTGGAGACACATGAGTGGTTGACACGCTTAGTCAGGGGTATATCAGGTTGGCCAGGCAGGCAGGATAAACAGTGGAGATTACCTGTATGTGTGTATATATACACATATGATGGCTAAAATGGAGAATGACCACTAGAGATATCAAAGGGAGGACAGACTGAATTCCATTAGTTCTGAAATTTTGGAGAGAACTGTTTCTATTTGTCATCCTGGGGTGGTAATAGTGGCAGGTTAGCAGAGAGAAGCACTAGTGGGCGCATGACAGTAGGTGCTTTCTGTCTGCAGGACTTTCGTCAGGTTGAGGGGTCTTAGTTTTGCTATAGTGGGTCATTTGCAAGTGAAGTGTTTTATAAAACTTGCTGCTTTACATCTACTGGACATTGGGTACTATTTAACTTCTCTGGGCCTTCCTTTCTAGATCTAGAAAAAGAAGATAAATTCCACAGGATTAAATGGTATTTGTGAAGTGCTTATATCACTGTTTGGTACTCAGTAGGTACATTATCATAATCAGGTTTTATCTTTTTTCCCTTAATATTAATAGTAACTGTAATTACTATTCTTAATATAATGAAAAGATAAAAATCATGGGGCATTAATTATACTTAACATGCATGATTTCATAGAGGGTAATGATTATTTGATTTGATTAGGTTAATTTTTTGTCATGAAATTTCTGTAGTGACTTAAGGAAAGCAATTAGGTAGAATTATCCCCATTTTCCAGACAGGAAAAGAGAGGTTTAGAGAAATAGCGTTACCAAAGTCAAAGCTAGTAAGCAGCTGAGTCATTATTGGAAACTTAGGTTTATCTTACAGAAAAATATCCAACATACCTTGATCTCATGTTGTATGTAACAGGGATGATGCAAAAGAAGAAAGACTTATCAATGAATAGTTACCAAAGACATGGAAAGAGAAGACAGTGAAGGATTTGGGGACTGAATGTGGAGAGAGGTCAGAGATCCTGCTTAGGACATGGAATTACAGCACCAAATTTACTGGCTTTGTCCAAGGACTCAGGCCAAGTGTGCAGGTCATTTCTTTATCCTAGAGACTCTGAGCAGATTCGTCCAGCATCAGTACGAGGGAGCGAGCACTGGAGAGGAAAATGGAGTTGGGTAGGAGGCAGAATTGTTGACCAACCTGCCTCCCAGGGACAAAAATTTACATGTGTGCCCTCAAATTTCCTTTACATAAAAAGTTTCTTTATATGAATTTTGATATGAAAACTTGCTTTGTTTCTAAAAGAATAAATAAAATTTGTGTTGAAAATTCAATTTCATGGCCCTAAAGCATTTTGAACTTTTTTGTAGGCAGAGTCTTGCCCCAGTGTCTGTATGAAAATGAGAGTAAGAAATGAGAATGAAATTAAATTATCCAATGAGGTTAGAGAGAAATTTGAAAACGGAATTGAGTTTATATGGGAGGTCAGGTACTCTCACCTCATTGAGGTCATTCATTCTCCTAATCTTTTTTCTGGAAAGGACTGACTCAAAATGGAACCAGAGTGTGTTTCAGCTTTTTGAAATAAAATAATTCAATTAATAGAAGCTACTAAAGAAAGGAGCACTCATTTTTTTGTATTATGTGAACAACTCTCAAAGCCAAAAGTGGGAGTCATCATGTTCTCATTAAAAAGGTAGATATGAATATTTTTGGAAATGCAGAACAAGTTTAACATTGTGTCCGAGCTAATTTTGTGATTAATGAAAGGCATTGATCAAATCATTAGCAAACAAGAGTTCTTCTTTTCTAAAAAGAACAAATGTGAGACAAAGAGAGGGGGAAATCAGTCCATAAAGTTTTTGAACTGGTACAAATATGACAGAGAACAACTGTCCTTGATCTGCTATGTTCCCTAAACAGAGACACCATATCCAGATGTTATAAAATGGAGATAAAGAATGAGTGGCTAAGATATGAGATTTCCTTTGAGAAACAGTGGTCCTCGGTGCCTGTCAGGGGAATTGGGAGATAAGAACAAATGAAATTGTACTTTACTTAAAGGTTCTGTTTCTAAAGGCTTTTTAGTTTGTTTTCCACTGCTGTGTAGTATCTCTTAAATCTTTGTGGAAACTCTGGTGTGTCTCTGACTACTTGAAATGCTGAGCCCTGTCAGGGGGAGCTGTGGGGGCTGCAGGGATCTCGGGAAGAGGATGAACGTAAAGACAGGGATTTCTTCCCTTAAATTATTATTTCTTCCCTATATTAGCTGCTACGGCCATCTGTGTAGCTGCCAAGCAGAAATAAAAAACAGAAAAAAGAGTAACAAGCACAGAGAGAAGGGAAAACAAGAAAGGTAGACAGCCTGTAAGTGTAGCTAGCGTACTTTGTTTGAAAATAAATTTTGCAAAAAAACAATTACAAACGCAGATCTATTGGTTAAAAGAAATCAAAAGTAATTTTGTATTTCTCTTGCACACAGCAGTGTATGCTGTGACTTTGAGCATCTCTTCCTTAAAGCAATTCAGTGTGTATGTTACTTTCTTAGAGGATTTTTAAAAGATTTTTGGCATGTCTGCAGCCTCACATCCGTGTGCTGCCTAGATCCCCTACAATGTCTTACCTATCCCATGTGTCCCCCTCCCAGCTTCTGCACCCTCTGCCTTCTTCAGAGGTGAGCCCTGGGCTGCTGGAGTTGCTTTTCACCCTCAGGCGCAAAAAGCCTGCGTCTACATCCCCCCTGGGGTAGCCTATAGCTATATCTGACTGGAGCAGAGTATGAAAGCCCAATTTCTTCCTGAAGGAAGGAAAAATTCTAATATAATTTAGACTCCAGAGGTCCCTGTGGAACCAGGCTGAGGTTGAGATGTTGCTGGAAATAGCCCCCTTGATTGACTTCTCTTCCCTGTCCTGCTACTCCCCACACCTGTAAGAGTTTGTCCTGGAGCATATCCTTCATACATCACTTGCACATGCATCCTCATCTCAGTGTCTGTTTCTGGAGAACCTAAAAATACACACATGCACATATGAGCATACCTCAAGACATTTATTAAGTTTCTAGGTATTATGCAAATACATAGATCTTACCATACACAGCTACCAGGGCTTACTAGTATGGTGGGTGTTACAGTAGGTAAAAATTTAAGTTTTATGTACAGAAAATACTGTGGCTATCAAAAACTATAATGAAATAAATACTCTTGCTGCAGAAGGATAATATTATTGTATTTTTTTCTATAATAAAAGAGATACTTACAAAGGTTTTCCAATGAAATGGCTTTCAAAACACAAAGAAATACAAGTGGTTTTCAGTTAAATATGATTTCCTGTTGGAAGCTTCTATAGACTCACAGATTTATACAGTCTTTTCTTTATCATGACAATATGTGTAATAGATAAGAAATGGTTATCAAATCTACTAATCTATCTTAAAAATATTTAGTATGATTAATTACTAACGTAATTCCCATGCCTAAACTAATTGCTTTTGGAAAAACAATGATGCTGTCATTTTTGTATTTTGTAGATATAAAGACTGCCTCCTCAGTCTCATCCAGAAGTCGCTCATGTTCTAGCTGCAGTGAAGATGAGTCTGCATTGGGAGACAGGGACGTCCACTCTGAAAACAGTCCAGATGCCAGAAGTTCATCTTTTCAGGAGTTGAATGAAAATGATGAGCCAGGAAAATCCCACCTTCCAATTAAGGATTCCCTAGAAACTGTAATTGAAGACCAAAAACTGGTAAAAGCAGATGTGGATTCCAAGCCTCTACCTATAGAAGAAAGCTTGGAGAATGTTCTTGAGGAAGAAATCAAGAAAAGAAGCCAAACGATTGCAGAGGGCTTATCTGAGAAGGCCAGGGAACATGTTTCTGAGGAAGAAAAGGAAAAGGATAAGAGTAAGCTTTGGGAAGGAAGCGCTGCTAAGGTGAAAGACGGAAAGGCAGGTCCTTGTAGGGTGGAGACAAGCGGTAAGTATGGCCTTTGAGTTGGCCTGCCATGGTCCCCGTGCATGGGAGCTGATTTTGGTCGTTGCATTCTGCCAAAGCTTGGGAAATACAACTGTGATAATGCCAGAGGGATTCAATTTTTTTCCTACTTCTCTCTATGTCACATAATCATACATGTATTTTCAGTTTGCTGTTTTCCTTCTATTGCATTTAAAAAATTACTTGGTAATTCTTATACAGCCTGTTTCCTATTTCCTGTAAATTCCTTCCTATGGTAATTCTATCTCAAGAATAAAATAAAACACAATACATGCCTGAAGGCAAGGGTACGTGTGGCTTTTTAGAAGTTATTTAATACTAGCAATACTATTTGTTCTTAGGTATATATGCAGATACACACACACACACACACACAGCTAACATTGGTAGTTAGTTGCTTGCTACAACATTGGTAGTTGTCATTTCTAAACTCTTACATATATTAACTCATCTAATCCTTACAACAACCCAATATCCCTATGAGTTAGGTTCTATAATTATCATCTGGATTTTTACAGATGACATGATCATTGCTCAGAGAGGTCAGGATGTCAAGGCTTATATAGCTAATAAGAAACATTCCTAGGATTTGAATTCAGGCAGAGTAGTTCCAGTTTCTAAAAATTTCCTACTGTATCTGTGCAATAGGAATTTAGATTTAGATACATGCACATATGGAAATTTCATAGAAAATTTCAGCTTTTCCTTGAATTCTTCTCTAAAACTGAGTACCTTCCTGATCTGGGGGAATCCTGGGGGTGTAGGGCAGTTCCATTTGACATGGGCAGAGTGTGGAGTGTCTCAGAGTAATCTGGCCCCAGGACCTTCGACACATGAGAAGACTTTTTCAACTTTATGAGAACAGTTAAAGGACGTATCTGTGTCCTGTGGACAGCCAGATTGTGCCTGCCAGATATTTACCTCTCAAATAGCAGCCTGTGCCCTGTAACTTGTATCTTGGTCCTCTCCTTTCTCTCTCAGTTGTTTCTGCTGCCAACATGGTGGGCATTCTTTTGGATTCCAAAATAAAATGTGTTTTCACACTTTAATATTACTAAAAGCCATCTGTGTTTTAAAACTTATGAATACTTTTAATGTCTAATGTCTATAGATTTCTTTGAGGATCTTAAAAGCTGTTATTAAACCACTGGGGCCTTCACCTAGAAATTGAGAATGTTGAATAATTATCTTTCAATTCAGCCATTATTATTAACTTTCTACTCTGTGCAGGGTACCATAGTCAATAAGAAATGTGTAAGAGAGGGTTCCCTCCCTCTTTACATAAAATGTTAAGAGGAAGGTGTAGCACACCGTTAACTGGACAAAGGTTAGTAGTCATACATAAAACCAGAGAAGGTACAAAAGCTTTGGGATTTCAAAGGAAGAGAAGTCCCATTTGGTTAAGGACAACTTGACAGTTTTTGTGAAGGGCTTGTTTGAGGAAGGCTTTTAAGGTTAGATAAGATTCTGAAGGTGGAATGGAAGAGGTTGAAAACATTTCAGACAGTGAAATGTAACAGAGAATATAACCTTTGAATAAGTTAAAAAATAACTCCGAAAGGAAAAGTTTGACAAACTTAAGTCCATGGGCCAAATCTGGCCTGCCACCTTTTCTTTTTGTATTGCCTGGAAGCTAAGTTTTTTTTTTTTAATTTTAAATTATTTGGAAAAATCAAAAGAATACTAGTATGTGGTAACGTGGAAATTATATTAAATTCAAATTTTAGTGTCAGAAAACAAAGTTTTATTGGAACATACCATTCACCTACATATTTTCAGTGGGTGCTCTTATACTATAAAGACAGTTTAGTTGTAACAGAGACCCTGTGGTCCACAAAGCCCTAAAAATTCGCTTTCTGGCTCTTTATAGAAAAAGTTTGCCAGCCTTTGCTCTAGGACTATAGTACAAAGACCTCCAACATTTTCAAAAATATTTTGTCATTTATGAGCAAGGATTTAAAAAAAATACATTTGAAATTCTTTTATGAAATAACTCAAATTTTGTTCTTGGATTTCATTGTTCAATTCTGGTACATATAATGTATAATCTAGATTTGTATAATTTAGCAAGGTGCTGATCAAAGAAGGTAGAGATATTAAAATTCAGTAGTAACATTAATATTATTTTATTATTTACTTATACTCCAGAAAGCTAGATTGTTTATACGGATTTATGTTAAGTAGACATCTTTTTGTAAAGTAAGGGATACCTAATGTAGACTCAAATTAGGCAGTCATAGAATAGCAGAAACATTGTACTAGGATCAAGTCACTTGGAAGAGAGTGGGTTGTTTTGATTTTTCTGGATTTGTGAAATGAAAAGTGTGTAAGTTTATTATTTTTCTCAGATATTATGGGAAACCTGTGTTCTTGATAATATCTATAATAGAAAAACATTTTGTTATTATCTTTTTATTAAGGTAGGTTCAAGACGAAATGACAAGATTGGTGACTGTTTATCTTTCTTAACTCTAATATATGTACAAAGTCTCTTTATCAGTGGTTTTTATTAACGGCTTATGAAATAACATTTAAAAAATAGAGAAAAGTTTTTAAAAATTTCCCATAGATCTGTCACACACAAAGAATAACTTTTAGCAGTTGGTCAAGCTTTTTATTTCTAAACTTAGGGTTTACAAAGTTATATTGTCATATTTTTATAAAATATTATTGTATTCTTCTTTTTATTCTTAATGTTATACCATAATCATTTTTATGTTAATATCTAATCTTTAGAAGGATGCCTATGCATTATTTTATTCTGTGGTTTTTCTCATAATTAAATGATTTCCCTATGTTGGATATTTATATTTTTTCTTATTTTCACTAGTATTAACAGTACTCTAGTTTCTTATTATCTAAGGTAATTTCAAATTTATAATTACTTTCTTTGTCTAAGTTCCAAGAAGCATAATTCTGGATCAAAGGTTATCAACATTTTAAGATTTTTTTTTTTGAGAGGGCATCTCTCATATTTATTGATCAAATGGTTGTTAACAACAATAAAATTCTGTATAGGGGAGTCAATGTTCAATGCACAATCATTAATTCACCCCAAGCCTAATTCTCATCAGTCTCCAGTATTCTGAAGCATAACGAACAAGTTCTTACATGGTGAACAAATTCTTACATAGTGAATAAGTTCTTACATGGTGAACAGTACAAGGGCAGTCATCACAGAAACTTTTCGGTTTTGATCACACATTATGAACTATAAGCAATCAGGTCAAATATGAATATTCGTTTGATTTTTATACTTGATTTATATGTGGATCCCACATTTCTCCCTTTATTATTATTATTATTATTTTTATTTTTAATAAAATGCTGAAGTGGTAGGTAGATGCAAGATAAAGGTAGAAAACATAGTTTAGTGCTGTAAGAAGGCAAATGTAGATGATCAGATGATCAGGTGTGTGCCTATGGACTAAGTATTAATCCAGGCTAGACAAGGGCAGCAAGACATCCACGGATGCAGAAGATTTCTCTCAAAGCAGGGGGGGTGAGGTTCTGAGCCTCACCTCTGTTGATCCCCAAATTCTCACCTGATGGCCCCCCTGCGACTGTGCCTGTCTTAGGTTGTTCCTCCCTTGAGGAATCTTACCCGTCTCTGGCTAACCAGTCATCTTCCGGGGCCATACAGGGAAATGTAAAGTTGGTAAGTGAGAGAGAAGCCATATTGTTTGCAAAGGTTAGCTTTTTACTTCTTTGCAGATTTATGCCCTGTGGCTTCTATGCCCAGCACTTGTCT